GGGGGGGGGGGGGGTTCAACTATAGATTCTATCTCGATCTCAATAACAGAAGAGCGGATCAGGATCAAAATACTGGAAAAAAGTGGAAAAGTGGCAACCCTGACCGATGTTTCTGGTCTGACGTGATAAAAAGTGAGAACTTTCTCATGGTATCTGTCTACAAATTCTTGTGTGTGTACAGCTTGATAGATTAACGATGGTGATATCATCCACTAGAGTGATCGTATCTGTCTGCACGTTCTTGTGTGTACAGCTTGATAGATTAACGATGGCGATATCATCCATTAGAGTGAGGGGCCATTTGGTCACTTTGGTGGGAGGAGGGGGTTCTAACTGGGAACAGAAAACTGATATAAATATATATATATATATATATATATATATATATATATATATATTTAATGCCTTGGGGTCATTTTGTACCCCCGGGATTGTATTCTTCACATTTTAGAATACTTCTAGTACGAAGATCTCTTTGAAATTTTCAGTATTTCTCAAGAAATCATTTTGACAGACTGCTATGCAAAGCGTACGGATCGGACTAACGAGTAAATTTCCTCTTTGGAATTTGGTGGCACAGAGTTCCCCACGTCGTATGGATACGATAGTAAAACACGACGTACGGATAGGGTTAAGTGGTGGCACAGAGTTCCCCACGTCGTATGGATACGATAGTAAAACACGACGTACGGATAGGGTTAGAGGGGCGATTTGGTCACTTTGGCGGGAGGAGAGGTTTCAACTGGGAAGTGAAAATTGCTCTATTATATTTTATGCACTGCTTGAAAATACACGTAGGGAGGCGCTACGAAAATTTCTTAGCCTCATAAAGGTGGTGAAAGTGGCCGCTGGATATAAAAAAGTTGACAAGCACTGAACTAGTTCAATGATTCAAAAACATTTTACAAATATTCTCCGACATATTGAAAGACAAGTTTTCAGTTGAACGTAATTTATTGGATGTTAACGTGAAAGATGAATTCTATGAAAAAGTGAAATGAGTACATTTGTAATGCAATTCTGAATGCTTAATATATCTGTTGGCCTGTACACAATCTCCTGAAGTGCTAATGGGGTTGACCACATATAGGGCTCTATGTGCTGTCACAGTAAGCTCTGGTTTTTCTGTGTTTTTTTTTTTTTTTAAATCACTTTCCCAAAACAAAAAAACAACTGATTTAGACAAATGTGCTGCGATCATGACAATGTTACCATAAGGACAAATGTGAGGCAGCATGGTGGAATCAGGCTCTCGTCAAAATAGTCAAAGTGAAGAAACTGGCATTTTTCCGCAGGTTTGAGAATTTTTATTGAATTTTTAGTTTCTCGCTCAACACCTTTCATGCCCTTTAAAGAACTCATTTCTGTGTTGATTTGACTGAAAAACTTTTATTGAAGACACAAAAAATGTAAATTTTCAGTTACCACGGACTCTTAAGCTAAGGAAAAAACAAACTTTTGTTGACCATTTTCTCCCTACTTTTACATCTGAAAACAGGTGACCCCACCTCCTTCAATTGCAAATATCTGGACTTCAAATCAACTCAACATAGATGAATATTTTTTTTCACCAAAAGGATGGCAAATGAACAAGCTTTAAGATGACCCCAATAACTCTACATGCTCCAAAATTGACGAGAGCCTGATTCCACCGTGTCGTGACACAAATGATGATGAATGCAGTGCAAGCAAAATCCGCTACCAATGATACGAGCCACCCCCCACCCCACACACACAGGGACCACATAAAATAAAGGGACTCAGTAGTAGCTCAACAGTCACAGTCAATCCTGAGAGCCGGAGTTCAATACCCATCAGAGTAAGGTTTTATTTTATTTGGTTTTCTACACCCCTAGTCCTAGATTGCGTTGGCGGAGTGATTAGTGCGCTCGTCTCCGAAGCCGAAAGTCCGGGTTCGAGCCTCGTTTCGGACACGGATTTTTTTCGCCCCCTCCTGCCCACCCAGCAGTAATGGGTACCTGACTTCGAGTTGGGGAAGTAAAGGTGGCGTGGAAAAGAACTGGCCACCCTACCACAATATGCCGAAGGCCCAGGAAGTTGTCTCACTAACAAGGCAATCCCCAATGTCCAGATCGGATTCGGGAACAACTTTAGTCCTAGAGTAGGTAGGATTATCATGAAGCAACTATCTTCTCGGATAAGGACGAAAAATTTCAGAGATCTCGTGCAAAAGTTTCTGACCTTAAAGATCCCTTGGTGGTTCTGAAACCGAAAAGAGCAGGTCTTTTTGACTGCCGGCCAGGCAGAATTCAAAATCTATTCCTGTGTCCAAAACTGAAGCCACTATATAATCACTGTCAGTATGACAGAATCTATATTTAGAATATTTCTCTAAACAGCACGTGGCTGCCCGTCAGGCAAGGGATGATTCTACGTTCCGTCATGTAGATAAAACGGCCATGTATACAACAAAATCAACTGCACTGCGAGACGAAAATCTTAAAGCCTGTTAGCGCTCATATGACCTTATGCAGTTGCGAGCGCCGTAATACCCCGTTCTAAAAAAAAAAAGCAAACAAAAAAGCCTGTTACTTCCTAAGCTCTAGCAGGGGTTCGCTTAAGAAGGAAAAAATGAAAGAAAAACCACGGGGCAGAAGGACACACCTGAGAAATGAACTTGTGGTTCGTTCAATAAAATAAATGCAGCCTCAAGAACAAATTGTGAGTGAGGGAGCGCGGTGAAATCAGGCCCTCGTCAAAATCATCAAAGTGAAGAAACTGGCATTGTTCCGTTAATTCCTGAACTTTTACCAAATTTTGGGTTTTTGGCTGAACACTTTTCATGTCCATTAAACAACACATTTCTGTGTAGATTTTACTGACAATGATTAAGGGCACAAAAATGTAAATTTTCCGTTTCCACGGGCTCCCAAGCTGAGGAAATAACTCTCATCTCTCTCACTTATTTCACCTTCTCAAACCAGGTGACCCCCACCTCATTCATTCCCAAATATCTCGACTTCTATTCAAGATAAATGGAAAATTAATTTTTTTTTTTCATCCAAAGCAAGACAAATGAAGAAAAAGCTTTCAGACGATACCAATAACTCCACATGTCTAAAAATTGACGAGCGCCTGATTCCACCGCGTCGTGACACAATTGTCCAGGTGTGACGTCCCTGGACTTGATGAACTGTTAACTTTAGTCTTAGTAAGAGTTTTACGGCACTTGCAACACAATAAGGTCATACAAGTGCCGAAGATTAGAGGTGTTACAAGAGAGTAACATACACAAAAAAGAAGGAGGAGAGATCAGGATGATAGATGTTTGACAGGAAAGAAGGAGCAAACCACACCGGAGCACCCGCTAACCACCCAACTGTAAACTTATCTCTTGTCTAGTTTCCATTAGCTGTAAATTAAAGGAATGAAGGGAAGGGATAAAACTTTCCCGCTGGGATGGATGGAAGGATGGATGGATGGATGGATGGATGGATGGATGGATGGATGGAAGGAAGGAAGGATGGATGGATGGATGGATGGATGGATGGATGGATGGATGGATGGATGGATGGATGGATGGATGGATGGATAGATGGATGGATGGATGGATGGATGGATGGTATAGAACTTCATGAACACCTCACAAAACCTCAGATCTAGTGTTCTACCTTTGAAGAAGCTGACGAGAGCTGGGGGGGGGGGGGGGATGGGGGTAAATGCAACGTTTGAACTGACAAAGTATATTGTAAACAATAGTATACACAGTGAACGTATACAGTTGTCCATATATATTAATAAATAGTAGTAGTAGTGATGGTTTGGTGACATTTGATGAAATAGATGTATAGACCAATTATCCAACCCCCCCCGGCAGTAAGTTCCTCTCTCACACACACACACACACACACACACCACACACAGAGATTTACTCTGCTATAGCCTGTTGTTGTTTTTTTCAAGCTCCCAGACAGTTCTGTTTAAGTTGAACAGTTTACCCCATGAACCTGAACGACAAATATGAACATATCAAATTCTCCCACAATTTACGCTCTCTGAATATTAGCCCAACTCCCAACAATTATATTCTGATGTCGTTGCCTCCATATCAGAGCAGCAGCTGCGAACATTCAGAAGAATAAAACCAACTAAATAAACGGAAATAAAGACAACACCTGGTACAGTGATTCAAAACTATACAGGGGGATGATCAATGATGAGTCAGGCATTGGGAATTCCAAATTTTCATCAACAAAAAGTGTCACAACTCCAGTTAAGTCATGAAAATTTATTTTTTTTAAATGGAAGCCACGTCTGATGACAAGATATCCTAATAACAATAATAAAAATAATAACAATAATAATAATTAATTAATTGCATTTATATAGCGCATTTCCACAAAGAAGTGCTCAATGTGCTGTACAATAATACAAAGAACATATGCAGCGCGCAGCTCCTATAGTAATCCTCTGTCTCTGTCTGCCTGTCTCTCTCTCTCTCCAGTACATCCTTGATTATAGATGATAGATAGCATTTGTATAGCGCAAATCCCGGCTCAACAGCAAGCTGTACGCACTTCACAATCTATCCTAAACTATCATGATGGCATTAGTTGCTGTTGGGGGCAACGAGTCGGGTGAAAGTGAAACAGGGTTTGTTGAGGTGCTGATGGTCCAGTCAGTCAGACGGACAGACAGACGTTTCTGTATATAGTCAAAGAGATTTATCCTTTGAGAAATGTACCAAAAACAACTGTACAAGACAAGTGCACCACCGCGCCGTTTCAGACGTACAAGTACAAGACACATTGATGGTTGAAAAGTGGGAAAAGTGCCGCTGGCATGCACAGAGGTTATTAAGCGGGGGTTT